TTATTGAAATTCATTCAATATTTAAATTTCATACTTCAGTCGCAAATATGGTTTTATATCCGATTTCATTTCAACCCATTCTGTACCCGGTTGACTGTTGTCCATTCTTTCTCGATCGACAACTTTATGCATTTGACAAACTGCTTCTTAAACAAAATACAAGGATTTTTCATTCTTTCGTGAATTTCAGAAAAATAATCACATTTGTTTACAAAAGTGTTCTCTTTTTTATTGCATTTTAAATTAGCCAGAGCAATTTTTAACATGAATTACATAAATAATGAAAAATTGAAATTCACTATTTAATCCATGAGTTTATTTCTACAGAATCCTTACTGTGTTAAACATGACCTATGAACCTTTGTGTTTTTCCAATTTTCTAACTAGGTTTATACTTCAATTTGGGGTTCTTTTCAATGTCATCAATAGAACATAGCGAAAACAACACCAAATAGAACAAAAAGTTCAATCACCTAATGTGCTTTGACTATTGCTGATCAATTATGTGTTAATTGATCTCGTTTGAAGATCAAACAAAATATATTATTTGACGAAGGAGAGATATAAATTGGGGAAGATGAAGATATGGTTTCTTCATTTTAGCAATGTCTATTACTATTTTACCCTTCTTCAGCTATACCTTTCAAAAAATTGGATCCCAATTGGGTTAAATTTAACCCGCCAGAGAAAACCATATTAGCGTGATCACTCCTGGTTATATTACAAGCAGTTTGTCATTTTCACCAAAAGAACCTTAGTCCGTATGCGGACAGTCCGCACTAGAGCCCCTCTATATATATATAGAGAGAGCTGAAAATTGCTCTTAGAGGCTAAAATTCAACTTGGGTTATTGATAAGGACAAACTCATATTCAACTTTTTCATAAGGACGATTTTCAGATTTGTTTTAGATCAGTTATAAAGAACAAATAGATTTGTTAGGCCCAAGGACAAACCCATCTTAGTAACCCATATCCATATTGAAAAAAAAAATTTAATTCCCGTTGTACCCTTCTTCTCCATTTGTCTATCTCTCTTCATTCTTCTCTTTATCTAATCAATCAATCAATCTATCTCTTTTTCTTATTTCATTTGTTTCTATTTTTCTTCTTTCTTATCTTATATATTCAATTATTCATTAAAAAGTAAAGTTAATGATATAGAAAAAGAATGGGTTTCTCTTGATAAATTGAAATTTCATTTTATTCGAATTTGCACCAAATTAATTTACATTTTTTCATTATAATTGATAGCTTCACTATATTCTCTCAATCTTTGTTATTATTATCACAGTAGAATACTTATTCATACCCCACAACCAATTTTTTTGTCAAAGAGAATGTGTTGATATGTGAGGTCTGACTGTTTTCGTGGCTGTTTTTAATCTGGTTGCCAAACTCTTCCTGTAGATGTTTCTTGACAGTCTTAAAGTACTCATTGAGATATATTTCCAACGCATCTTTCAGATCACCTATCGAAGTTTTCAAACATCTTCGTTTATTTGCACAAAGTTGCCTATTTGAAACTGTTTTTCTGATGATTTTTCTACATTTCAAGTTTTTTCGAGTGGAACGAACATGCAAGCATGTAATTTTAACAATACCGAGCATATAAAATCACTTTGTATCATAACTTGGGACAAAATAACAATGTTTAGGGGCTAAGATAAACAATTTTTAGTACTATTACGTGAATCAAATTGGCATCGTTGTCGGGGTGTGTGATATGTGCTCAAAGACATTTTAGGTTGGGTTTCTACATTTCAACTTCTTTTTGTTATTAACCTTTGCTATTATTATCACAATATAATACTTATTCATACCCCACAACCAATTTTTTCTGTCAAAAAAAATATTTTATATATGAGGTCGGACATGTTTTCGTGGCTATTTTTAAATTAGTTACCAAACAGTTCTTATAGATGTTTCTTGACAGTCTTAAAATATATATCGAGAGCTTTCCAACACATCTTTCAGATCATCAATCAGAGTTTTATAATACATTCGTTTATTTGCTCAAAGTTGGCTAATTGAAACTGTTTTATGGTGATTTTTCTATACTTTAAGCTTTTTCGAGTAGAACGAACCTGCAAATATGTAATATTAACAATACTAAGTATATCATATCACTTTGTATCATATCTTGGGACAAATTATATATTAATGTTTAGGGGCTAAATCTTGGGACAAATTATATATTAATGTTTAGGGGCTAAATAAACAATTTTGAAGATTATTTGGTGTAAATCGAATTGACATCGTTGTAGGGGTATGTGAGTGCTCAAAGACATTTTAGGTTGGGCGTGTACATTTCAATTTCCTTAAAACAGGATTACAACAATGAAAAATCCAACTTAAAAAGGTAAAATAATAACAAACCATTACTGAATTGTTTTTTGAAAAAAAAGAAGAAGTAATGTTTGATGCAATAATAAGGCAATTGCATAGGTTGTTGATGTAAATGTTATATCTTGTGAATTGTGACAAACAAGGGCAAAACGGACATTTCACATGTACTGTAATATTATGAGTCCTTGTATTAGGTCTAGTTCTTGGTGTTCAAGTGTTCGTAAGGTTTTGGAGTTGAAGACATCAAGAATGGACGCGATCGGCGGCAACCGAGCACACCCGGGAGTCAAGCAGGCAGGTCAAGCAGGCAGCTGGCCTGATGAGGAGTCGACTGATGTTAAAGGAAGACCAGACATGCCATAAGGTCAGTCGACTGACATGCAATGTTTCAGTGGCAGTTTTGTGATTAAAGGGTCAGTCGACTGACTGACGGGATACACAGATTTTCCAGCCTGGTTTGGTCCTTTTACTCCCGGTTCACTCAGTCAAAACCCTAGTTGGTCAACTGACTTTGACCAATGGATCTTTTAGGGTTTTGACAATAAAAGCAACATAACATGAGGATTTGCTTAAGGATTTTGTTCATTTCATCAAGAGCTTTCAAGAGACAAAAACCTAACTTTGTGAGA